CCGTGCACCTCAACCCTTCTAAAAGCTTGGTACACTTCTCATTTTTGCGCACCTGGAAATACAATAGCAACTGTAACTTTCCACCACCCCAGCGGAACATGATCTCCTTCGTGCGCGGCTGGAGCAGTAAACTCTGAATTTTCTGCAGGTGGGAGATTCATGAGCTCGCACCACATGAAAACATGAAAAACATGCTTGCATGACGGAGACTTCCCCCATTCAAAAATCTGAAGTTGTGCAACTTGAGGCCGAGTGGTCAAGTCCGGAGTTTGGTCCCCCCTCCCAGTGGATTGTTGGATTGTTGATTTCCCGGATCCGCACCTGTGGTGCTTCGCCTTGGCGAGGGCTGGGCCGAGTGGATTTGTTGACGATGCCGGACAAGGCGGTAGACCAGAAGATTTTGCAGCACTATGGCTATCACAGCGGAAAAGTGGCACGAATTCAACTCTTACATGGATGCCCGACATTGCCTAGGGCCTAGGCCTGTGTGTGTGTGTGTTTGTTTTGTGTTTTTTTTGTTTTTGTGTGCGTGTGGGTGTGTGGTGTATATATGAATTTAGATTGAACTTATTATTTTTTGCTGTGGTGGATGTTGGAAGCTATGGGTATTTCATGGCATTGGTATGATGGAAGCTGGCGCACACAGGAAAAAAACACATGATGTCAAAGAGGTTCTCTTGCATTTCGCATCTTCCTTGGCCACACAAGTGGCGCAGACGCCACAGACAATTCTTTTTCTACATGTTTTCCCTCATGTTGAAGAGAAATTTGGTGCTTCCAAGGAATGCTCATTCGGAAGGCCAAGGGAAATTGGAGTGCTCAGTGGACGCCTTCGAAGATTGTGGAAGACATGGACCTTGAGGTCTTCTTGCAAGTGAGCCACGTCCAAGACCACGTGGAAATTTGCGGAAATCAGGGCACGACCCGACTCTACTTCTTGAACCATGACAAGCAGAAGCCTCACTGTCTCAGAGTATGTTGAGGGCATGCTGGAAAGAAATTCTTTAGATATCAGGCGCCAAAACAACTACTTCCGCGGGTGGTTCGGTGGTTCAAGGGACACTGTACTGAGCACTTTTTCGCGCCTCAAATGGTCCCAGTTGCAACCTTCTCCAGTGTCCCATTTTTGAGTCACGAACCGGACGCGCAATTTGTAGAACCAAAAGGGTGTCTTGACACTTGGGATCACTGACCCTGGTGCTGTCAGAGAAGGTACTAGTAACCATTAGCAGACGTTGCATGATGGTTGCCTGCGTTGAGTTGCCACAGAACCCACTTCACCAATTTCAGCGTAGAAGAAATATGCAGATATTCTTCGGAACTTGCATAATGCTGCTCTTCTCCAAAGCCGTTCGACCACCCCCTCAACCAGTCAGCTTTGTAGCCCCAATCATCCTACAGAGGTCACCCAAAGCTTCCAAACAAAGCACCCCACACTGCAAACCAGGACCCAGGACGATGGGTGTCCTCTAAAGATCCCTGATGGTCACTCCGGCCAGGACACCGTCGTCGTCGATGTCGCCGTCGTCCTGGCTGAGGATCGGCTGTGGAAGCTACAGCACCGAGCTCGAAGATCTACTGCTCAGTGGGAAGAATTGCTTGGTGCGGGAGGTCCCAGATGAGACCCGGCTGGGAAGCGACTTTGACGGGGGCCTGGTTGGGGTTGATGCTTGGCATCTTACTAAGTACTGAGAAAAGGGCGAGGCTGAGTCTAGCTATCCCACTTGCATTGGATAGGCATCCAAAGATGACCGGGTTTTTGCACTGGTCCTTGATACACTTGTTGGTGCCTTTTTGGTGGCATATGCGGCATATGCCATGTTTTCGCTTCTTTGGTGCAGCGACTGTCCCCACCCAGCTCTGACGGTTGAAAACTGTGCCTCCCCGAGGTCGTCGGTGTGATGTTCGGGTGTGATAGGCATCGGGTATGATTGAACTTCACAAAGAGCAACATCAAGTACTACCATAGAAATCATGTGGACAAGTGAACCTGCCTTGCGTAACTTGCAACTGAATTAACACCCGTGAGATTTCCTGGAAAGATGTGCTGCACAGAATTCAAACACGTTCTTTGCACCAAGTTTTGAGGGTTACCCGACTTGGGACCGTACTTCAGATGCCCTCAAGTCAGGGGTGTTGCAAGAAAAAAAGATGAAAACCAGTACTGGCCTGTATCTCAATATGACAGGTTAGCATCTCATCTCGAATCTCGCGTGTCACCATTTCTCAAGACTGACCGCAGCATGGCCACCATTGAAGTGGTAGTGACCTGTAGTGACACCAAAGTTAGATCAGTCGGGCTTACCAGATTCTCTTTCGACACGGCCTCACAGTACATGCGAGCCCTATTGAGAGACCTCCCATCCAAACTGTGGTGGATTCAGATATGTTTTCAACCTCGCCTTTAATTGGGATGCTTGAACCCACTGACATCCCACTGACTCATATGTTTCTGGTTTGAAACCACCAACTCGACCTCCCAAGCGTCCACCGGTGGATCATGTCAGGAGCTCCGCTCTTTGTTGTTGGGCCGCACCGTCAGCTCCGGGTCCTTGCGCGCGCTACATGCGGTGCGACGGCTCATGCGCTACGTCACGACCTTGGGCTTGGCACAAACCAAGGGGAACGAGGACGGGAAGCAAACTAGCACTGAATGGAGTGAAGCTGCCTGGGCAATTTGGGTAGCTCTTGGAAAGGCCTTTTAGTCTAAGAGCCGAGAGCTGATTATGACTGTATAATTATCAATTCAATTAACAGCTAATATTCTGTGGCTATTGTTATATTTGCGTACGTTGGTTCCATAGCAGTCAACATCCAGTCAGCCCTTTCGTATTTGGCACGCACTGAGATTGGGACGGACCGAGGGGTGAATCGCCGGACACTTTCGGAGAGGTTCTGGAAGATTGAGCGCAAGCGCTTGCACACACACATACCAGGACCATCCAGTCTGGGTGTCCTGGCTGGACTACCCTACACTACTTAGGGATCTCCAGACAGGACACCCATTGCATGGTCCAGGTATTGAACCATATTGAAGCATGTGCTGCATATGCCATAGCCAATGCGTTCACTTGGCAGGAGTTCAGCAATGCAGCACCCTGGAGATTTGGGGGGAAACGCCGGGGGTCTGTCCAAACCGCCGGCCTACGGGGGGGGGTCTGAAAGTCTGAAATCGGCCGCCGAGTGTATAAACGGCCATGCTTTCCTTCCACCAGGGAAGGCTAGCCTCTTCGTTACAAGGTCCAAATGGTCATGGCCCCTCCAGGGGCGAAGTCCACGCACTGTTGGCAATCCTCAAGGAAGTAGAGTAAGGCCCATGCCAGGCTTCAAGACAAGCATGCTCAGAATTGAGTTTTTTTTTTTTTTCTGGGGCCCCGTGTTTAACCTTTTTCTAGGAAACAACCTTTGAAGGCAAAGACATTGGTTTTGCAATCCACCTTTGTGTGAGACTGTGGCCAAGTGGGCTTCAGTCATGAAAGGTAGCCTGAGCTACCTGAGTTTTTTTGTTGGCTTTCGTACAGGGCCCGGATCGTCCTCACATTGGCCAATTCCTTGCAAATCCATGTTCATGCACTCTTTTGTTCTGTTGTGAACATCGACCTGGATAAGGACCATGTTGTAGAGCATCGTGCTTTTGAGACCATTTCCCATGCCCGCCTTCACAATCATCAGTGCATCAGCTTTGTTCCACCCCAAGATTTTAAGATTTGCTTGAGGTCTTCGTGGTCTCAAGTGGTCCCGGAATTCTCTCAACAGACGATTTGCCCATGAGGTCCAGATCTTCTACCAGCTCAATCGCCACGTCGAGGTCTCCAGCTTTACAGAGCGGGCACCGGGCGTGGCGGGCGCCTCACCGCTGGTGTACCGCTTTGATTTGGCTCAGCCGAAGCAGGTGGATGCGTACTGGACGTGCTTGGAGCAACAAGTGAAGCATTGGCTTGGACACGGAGATTTGATGGCACACTTACAGTGGCTTCAAGAAGTAGATTGTACAAAACCCTGAAATGTACAAACAAATGAGGAATAAGACGCACACCAAACTTGGGGGCCCTTGTGCAATGTAATCTCTCCATTCACTGTAGATATAGGTCGTTGGTGTTTTCAGTTCACCCGGGTGACCCAAGACCCAAGTCTCATTGGTCGTTGGCTGGTTGGTTTCGGAAAGAGCACGTTGCTCGAAGACGTTGCTCGTTGGGGCAACGCCAAACACCAAGGACGAAGCGGTGGCCAAGGAAGCTCCAGTGAGAAGGAGCAGAAAGACAAGAAGCAAAAGGAGAAGAAAAAGAAGGACAAAAGGAAGGAGAACGAGGACAAGGAGGACAAAGAGAGGGGGGAAACGAAGGGGAGAGCTACTTGGCCGGACAATCAGCTTCTCCCTGTCCCCATTCAAGTTGAAAACCTTTGGTGCTGAAAATCTCCAACTGCACGATTGGCCAAGATCCTCCACTTTTGAATCATTTGTTAATTGTTGATGGGTGCTGCTTTCAGTGTAGAAGGATATAGATTAAGGATTGGATGTATTTTTGCAGTGCAGCACTTCGGCAGTTCAGCTCTCCTCCAAACCCACCTGGGAGACCGAACCGCCTTCACGAGGTGACTCCTCCGAACGGAGCGCCGCGGGAGCTCTTCAATTTGAAGAACTGGAGTAAGTCCACTTGGCACCTAAGTCGCAAGGCCGGAAACGGCACACATACTACTTGATCATTGATTGATCATATATTAATTGCCTGGTCACAGAAAAAGCAATGCCTTTAAACTGTTTCCCCAAAGACCGCGTCGTTTCCTGTGACAAGGCGGAAGCTGGCAAATTGTGTGGTGGCGAGGTGAGACGCCAAAAAGACATTGCATTTTTTTAGACGTCCAAACCGCGTTTTACCCTGTGCATAGACTTTGAGCATACATTTGCAGCATTGAAACAGCATGCTTCTTTGATTTATAGGTGTTTTTTTCCACTGACAAATGCATCTGGCAAACATTTAGCCAATTTTTTTTTGGTTTATCCGGGGTGCCAAATATGGGTGGTACATACGCTATTATATGCGGGTGTTGATGGAACCACCCTGCCAAACAGGCTGCCACCGATGGACGGTCCGTTTTGGAGCCGAAATCAGCGACGCTGCCGAGGCTTTTGCCCCACCAGCGGATCTCGATGAATGACTTCTACAATGAGGTGCTCTCAAAACTGGAGCAGAAGCTGGATGAGCAAACTCTAAGGTCGCAAGATGTCGCAAGATATTTTTCTCTCATACCCAGATGTTTCACATGCATCTTCTTACCCCAAGGGCATGAGGATTATTTTTGAAGGTTTGGAGGTGCCCCTTTTTTTTAACAGCCACTAGTACAGCCACTGTAAGTGTTTTTGGTCAGGAGGATGGTTTCCAAAAACTCATTAGGTGACGTCCCAGGGTGTAAGGACTCAATGAAATACCCTGGTCCCTTTGTGGAACCACAGTGAAATAACCAATTCTTCAATAATTATAGCTGAGATCACAGGCGCCATCCACAAATTGATGGAAGTTATCATATGATCATTTTAGGCATCGTTTTTTTGCTGAACACCCTACTCTTTTCCTAAGGAAAAGCCCTCGTGAGGGAGAGCTCAAGGCGCCCAGCCAGGTGCGCCCGCCTCCTGCGAGAGGTTGGCCGGAGCGGCACATCGCACGAGTGAAGCGAACATGCCATGCCATGCAAGGGTTCCTTCAACCAATAATAGCAGGCACACCTCTTTATACAGAGAGCTGCGCTCCTCGACATCATCATGGAAGTGGAACATGGCCCCGGAAGGATGCATTTTCCTCTTACAAACAGGTGGTTGTCCTTTTCCATGATCTTCCATGCCAACCTCAATCGAGGAGTGTCCTGCGGAGGCGAGGAGAAACTGCGCTGACACATCTTCGCACTTCCAGGGCGACCGACACCGATCGTCGCGACCGTTCCATGCCGCGTTTCCGTCTTTTGTCGCCAGGTGTTGACCCCGAAGAGCGCCGAAATCATGGCGCTGAGCCGTCGGATCATGGTGGCACCGGATCAGATCATCAAGTACTGCAAGAGCCGTCAGGAGGCAAGAAATAGCGGATCAGTTGTTGGGGACCGCTTGTGGTTGTAAGAGGACTAGTAGGCCAGGGGTGGGGTACGAGAGACGGAACTTCCAATTGTACGGGGCTATGAGGGAGTCTCATTGACACCATCAAAGTTGTGTTGCTTTGTCGTGTTTTTTGGATGCTTTGGGCAGGATGACAGGTCCAGAGGATGTCATGAAGATGCGTGCCCATTTGGCCCTCCAGTCCATGCAGCGGCCCCTTCAGCCTCACAATCGACCACATCCTGCAACGGTTCCCACACCGCGGAAGTGTGAAGAGATCGATTCGATCCGAGTCATTCCTACGTGCGAATCCTCCTCCTTGCGTTGTTGAAACGTCGATCTATTGAGGAACCCTTCTGCCTACTATAAGGGTCCCCTGTCCGAACTCCCACTCGGCTCGAAAACCCACGGAGCGAGCAAGCGAAGCGCTGGGAAAGCCAAGGGGTTCATCTCGGCGGAACCCGCCGAGCGTTCGCAGGTCTATGGTCCTCATCCCTCGGATGGAGGACCATGCGTGGAGTTCTCTTCCCTGATGGCCGCCACTGGAATGGAGGATGGCCATCAGGGGAAAGGGGACAGAAGTAGAGAACAACCACGGATTGTTTTACTGTTCTTTTGGTGGGAGGTTGGGTGCCATTGTGGTTGGTCTTTAGGATGTTTGGAGCCACACTGCTTATAACTTATAGCGAACCAACACCTTTTCAATTCTTGTTAAGCATTGGGGGAGGCAGGTGAAAACAGAAGTAACATGGCTTATCTAACTGTCCTTTCGAGTGATGACTACGCGGGAAAGCTGAACTTGTGGTAAGATGATGACTTCCCACAGTTATTGGTGGGCTCCTTTACTTTGGTCAGCATACCTGGCGAGGTCTACATAACTTGCATTAAGCTCGTGGTGGGGTGCCTATAGTGATAGGTTCAGCGGGGTTGCACCTCTTCAGTGATCATGAACCACACGGCGTGCGTAACTTATGTCATGCGTATATCGCCATAAAAGCCTCCCCCCAGAAACATGTTTGTGGAGCCGCTGAGGCTCAAAAATGCTTGCTGCACTGATAAACTCTCCCGCAATATAAAACCTTGAACCTTATAATTGGATATCATCAAAAGGTGCGTGAGAGGATATGCTAGAAGGAGTGCAACCTGGTAGGTATATAGGTAGAAGGAGTTGAACGCGTAATTGTTAGATACAGAAAGCGTAATTGTTAGATACACATTATAGTTTATAGCGTGAGTTCATGGATATCACTCTGACAATTTTGTTGAATTCTCCGGAAAGGGTATCATAAAGAATCTGGTAGTTTTTGATTGGCTGCAACAACTCCACATACTTGACTGTTGCAAGTATTTGATCAAATTAACTTAAGCAAATAAGTTTGCATATAAAGATTATAGACCATTACAGTATTACAAACTTACCTGCTAATCAAATAATTAGACAATTGAATGTTAAACTTAGGTTACTTAGGTTCCTATATTATTGCAGGAGAGTAGGCCGGGCTTATTATTGCATCCTGCTAACACATGGAAGTTGGACGTATGTTGATTATTGAGTAGCAGAAAGTGACCTTTATTATCGTAACCTACTAGACGCAGGCTTGTCTTTCTTGTAGAACAGCAGTAAGTCAAGTTGATTTTTGCCACCTGCTTACTGCTAACGCATTGAATTTGGAAAGCAAATTGTGATTGAACAGCAGCAAGTGGAGTTTATTACTCTGAAACCCGCCAATTAAACCATGAATGGCAGCTGATTTTTGCAGCAGCGGGAAGTTTAGTTCGTTATTGACACCCAATGCCACTCATCAACCTAAGATGTTCATTGGGAACTCTAGTTGCATGTTCCTAAGTCTCAGTTTTCTTGAATCAAATTGGACGAGCATTGTGTTTCGATTTCAAACTTACACGGGCATTGACGGACTTTTGCAGGAGAAATCTTTGGTTTACTGCATATGGGAATTCGCTAAGTAGTGCATAGCTTGGAAGCAAATGGTGCAGTGCCCAGAACCTGTCAAAAAGCTTGATTTGGGTTGGCTTGCCCAGTCATTGACATGGCGGGTGCCCAAGGTTCGCTTCAAGTGCCACCTTTGTGGGCATTTGTGCTTCCAGCGATGCAGTCTTTGGGCGAAACTTCGGAGAATCAAACTAAAGCCCTTGCTATAGAGTGTGGATACGGAATAAGACAATCAAAGCAATAGATTTAGTTTGGTCTAATATATCCTGCATGACCTATGTAACATTGGCCATTCTTGAATGCTGGCTGGCTGTGCTCTGAAATTGCATGAAATTGCTCCCTTATTGGCCGACCTCGTAACACCTCACGCTCTCAGGCATCAATGAGCATTATTCGAAGATCCACCAAGAGGACTGATGATCTGAAATGAGCAACCCAATTCTTCGGGGCAAGGCCGAAGATAGATCGGCCGAGTTGATGAGTAGGACATGCAGGACCTTGTGCGCATGACTCGGTGTATGGGCCAAACATGGAAATTTGGAGTGGTTTGGAGACGCTGTTCCTCAGCTATGGGTCTTCAGGGGGGCAGTAATTACGTTGGTCATCAAGTCCGGTTCCTTGTTCATTGATTTGTGTCCCATGTTTCTGTCCGGAGGTGTTTTGTATAAACATATCCTCACCCGGACCCTGCTTCACGGCTGAGCTCCTGCGGACACCTAGGAGCTTCCAAAGGACGAGAGCCTCTACACTGAGGCGGACTTCTACGCCCAGCGCTTGGAACAGGCGAAGCCCACACGCCACTGGGACAGCGGAACCGGTGGGATGAGTGGGAGTGTACGGATGGGGGTCCGGTACGTGGCAGTATGAGCTAGTGACCCCAGAATGGCCCAGAGTGTTCTTTGTTGAAAGTGTGAAATAAGTGTGTAACATGAGGAACATGAGCTTTAGTGCATGCCTCCGAAGAATGGCAGTTTGATAGACTGGCGGAAGGATGAGCCCAAACAGCACGTGCAAATGCCCCAAACCGCACATGTCCCAAAGACTAGTTGTTTGCTTGGTTGATTCGTTGATGTGTTCGCTTGCACCTTCAAGGCAAGGATGGCATGCGCCGCTGGCGGAGGAAGCGCTTGGCACCAGTGTTCGGCAGCCTGAACAGCTGGCCCGCAGCCGACGGAGCACGTAGTGACCATGAGGCAGCTGGACAGACAGCTCACCGAAAGGAGGAGGCCTGGGGCGAGGAGTTGCAGGATGAGGCGGTCACTTGACGCAGAGCCGCAGAACATGGAATCCGGGCGCATGGACCCATGCCCAGACACTCCGCACGGATCCACACGGCATATTTACCTTCATTGGGGTGGTTTCAGGGGTGGAGGTAGATACGTATTCCGTACATGGAGTGTTTGGGCATTGTCCCTATTTTGGAATTGGTCTCGAGTAACCGAAACCACTGGCTTTGCAGCCGAAAGAAAGCTCCCAGATGAAGCACAGCAACTCATGAGCTCCACATGTTCTCGGCAAACATTTGTGACAAAGGAAGGAGTTTTGTGGCTGCATCGTGATGAGGATCGACGAATCTTTGACAGTTCATGGATAATTCTGAGCTTTGACATTTCGAATTTGGCCGTTGATGCCGTTGATGCCCGCGTTCTTGTGCTTTCGGGCACATGGCAGCCAGCTTGGCAACAGTTGTTTCAGATGATGCCAATCAACCCCGGTGGAGTCTCTCAGGCTTGGTTGCAGCTCTTCACCACGGCCGAGTCCATGGCATGCGCCCGGGCCGACTCATGTGACCTCACTAGAGGTGCCAGAAACGGATGCCCCACAGTCGGGGAGCAAGCACCTGGGTGCGCGTGGGTGTGCGGCATATTGGATATCTCAGGATTAAAGCAGCAGTCAGTTGTAAACATTTATAGGGATATTTGTGAGCGAATTTTGCGATCATTTGTGGAAAAGTCCTTGCATTTTTCACCAAACAGCTTAGACCCTGCTGTTGGGTTCGCCCTGAAAAGCAGGTTCGAAGCTGCACGGAAACCCACACCCTGCATGCTACGACTTTCCATCCACTTTCCAGTTGGAAAGCATTGAGCCCGTGTCATGAACAAGACCCCGCTAGTATCCAGCCGTGTTTTTACAATCCAATTCCCCCTCCAACTCCATCTCCCTTCTCTCCTCCCCTTTCTCAGGCATGCAGGCGATTTCTGAGGGCGCCCCCACCCCGCCTGTGCGGCCCATCGGTGGTGAGCTGCGAACGGATGCCTCCACTTGGCCGCTGCTGGCACGGCTCAGTGGGCGGTCTGCACACTTTTGCCGCAGCGTGATGCATCGACTGCTCGGCCAAGATGTCACCCGTCAGATCCGTCCGATGTCAGATCCCGTCAGATCCGGGGACTTCGGAAAGCATGGTTTTTCTTCCCCCAGCGCTGGCGGGATGTGGGTGGGATTGGGGTGGGATCCCCACCGCTGGCTGGGTGGGATGGGACATGAACATGATTTGGGGAAACACCGGACACAGAAGACATTTCCATGCTGAAGCGCAGGTGGCAAGAGGACCCGAGCCTCACCCCATGAACTTGGCAAGTGTGATTCTTTGGGAACGCGTGTTTGTTGCTTTTCACAAGGACGAACTGTCCCAAGACCATGCTAAAAGAGAAAGGTCCTATACCTATGCCTATACCAGCTGAGAACTGATGCCAAGTTCCCATTAGATTGTGGATCATCAGGCTTAGGAGGTGAGCACTTAGGATAAGGTGCTCTCTTCTCTAGAGAGCAAGAGTGGGGTATAGGGTCTTTTCTCTTCCCTGTGCATGGATCATCCTCCTTCCCTTGAATTCTGTGTTGTTTCCCGTTCCCAGTTTTGCCCCTCTCATCCGAGTCTTCAATCCAAGCCCCCGTGCCGTGGCCGGCGCTGCATCGCACCTGAAAGGTGAAGAATCGCCGTGCCGTGGCGGCGCTGCGCTCGTTGGAGATGCAGTCGGAGCCTGGATTGGTCGGAGAAGCTTGGACGAGCACGGAGGAGTTTGGAGGAAGGAGTTGGAGTCTGGAGGAGTTTGGAGGATTTGGGATGCGTTGGCCAATACGCCCCCTGTGCTGGCTATGAGGGCCTCTCAGCATTTGTGTAGAGTATTCCACGTCGTGGTTGTACCTGCAAGATAGGTGCATCCCCACACCGATCTTGCATTGATTGTGCTGGAATATCATTAATTTAGTTCCGGGTTTCTTAAATTTGGGTTGTGTTTAATATAATGGTGTGATATGGCGTGCAGGCCATTTTCCAAATCTTCGCCCCCTTGGTGATAGTATTTCATTTGGTCCTTTAGATTGTTTTTTTGTTGGAGCTATCAGTCACCGACTGAAGACTGCCCATCGCATCCCATAGGTGTTTTCGACTGAGTATAGTGCATCTCCAATGGAAATTTCTTATATATAGACTGGCATAGACACAAGTCCTTGCCTTGCAATGTCCATGGTAGACTTTGTCATACTGTATCTTGAAATGGTTTAGTTTACTTGGAACAATAGACCATTTGTGCTGTGACGAGGATTCAACCAGCCCAACTTGACTCCAAGTGGCACAATCCCATCGATGTGTAATCCAAGATTTGGCAAAAGATTCGATCACGATTCCCCAGAAAAACTCCAAAGGGCTTGGGATGGTCTAAAATCTGGACCATCTGGACTCGGAGTTCAGGCACCTTATCGCCCTCACCCGCCCGAGGCCAAGAGCAGCATTGGCCGAGCAGTGGCGAAGTCGTTGCTCCTCACGGTGCACGAGGCGCCCTCACGGTGGTGGCGGAATGACTTCCTGAACTCCGACGTGAGGTGTGGAGCCCGAGAGGATCGCGTTCTGCGAAATGTGCGTGGGCTCCAGAGGATGCGGTTTTTGGGGGACCGTGGTCCAGCTAGGATCAAGGATCCAGTTTCTTTTGTCACTTCTAGGCTCTTGTAGGTGCTGGTATGTCATCGGTCAGTTTGCACCAGCCTAGTGCTGCTTCAAACCATTGGCCATCTCATTTACTTTGGAACTCTTTCTTGTGGTTGATGAGTGCTAATGTGTCCAAACAGATCACCGGGTGGAGACCTTGGATTGGAGAGCAAGAGCCTTGACGTACCACCACAATTCGCTTTTAGTGCCTCAAACAGGTGTATATATACTGTATAATACTGTACAGTTTTGATATATATATGTATATATTATATTGATATTGGAGATGATAATCTCGTCGATTCGGAATTGTTAGGAGACCTTCCGAAAGGTTGGCTGAAGCTTTCCCCGGCTGGTTTGGGAGCAAGACTGCATCAACTAAAATTAGAATACCTACCAGCTATCGAAACTTCGTGACAGTTTGGGTCTCGCAAAGCCCGGGCGGAAGCAGCAGAACATGTTATCATGTTGAAGATGCAGTATACTCCAAAGTGTTGACTGTTGATCAACCAAGGCCCCATATGGAGATGTAGAAGCATCCTGGCACGGGGAGTTTGCCATTCCATGGCCAACATTAGCATCAATGAGACCACCACCTCCACCCGCCCAAACAAACCATTGACTTGCGAAGAAGCCTTAGCCCAATGGATTGCCTGAGGGCTATGATGGATTGTGTGATCCGGCAATGGCAATGCGATGGCATGGTGAGCAAGCACAAGGAGAGAGAAGCGAAACCTGAAGTTGCTTAAAGATTGTTCATGGTGATTCTTAAGAAATAGGTTCCACCATTTCCAGGGGGGCAGGTCCGTGATTTCCCACAGCTTATTGAACAGCCGGTTGATTTCCATTGTGTGAAGAGACATTTGTTTTACCATCCGACGGTGGTCGGGTCAAAGGGTCCATGACGTTGTCGGGTCCGATTTCTGACGGGTCGTCGGCTTCTCCAAGGAAAGGAATGAAGATCTCCCCCAAGAACGCAAGGCCTCGGTGGATCCTTGGCTGTGGCGGTTGGTTGGTTGGTTGGCTGGCTGGCTGGCTGGGTGGGTGGTTGGTTGGTTGGTTGGCGTGTTGTTTCACGGTTGATTGTGGGTGTTCAAGTGCACACCAAAACAGAGAGAGAGAGAGAGAGAAGGAATTTCCATGTCTCAGCGGAAAAGGGCACGAGACCCCCATCTGGCCATGGGTGGCCACCGGATTAAAGATGGTGATCGTGCGGAAGATGATCTCTGACTCCACAAAGGTCCGATCACCAGCACCCCTGGCCCGGCCCTGACCCGGTGGTGTTGTGGATCCTGAGGATCCTTTTTTTCCTTACTGTGTGGGACAGCGCGGCCGTCATAATCCGTGTAATCGGATTATGCACTTGCTTCTGATTCCTCTCCAGACCCAGAGTACAAAAGCCGGTGCAGCGACGGTTTGAAGGAGGGTCCCAACAGTCTACTCGTTGGCCAGTCGGGCCGCGCGTTAACGCCGCAGTCAACCCGTCCTTCGCCGTAACGCGCCCACTTTGGCGCGCCTTTGGCACTGCTTGACAACGGTGGAGGCCACATAGCCCTAAAGGCTTTAAAGGGCATAAATCCGCGCAAGTTCCCGCAAATTCTCGCAGCTTTGTATGCAAAAACCCCGCTTGGAGGCTTGGAGGTCCAACTTGTTCAATCTGTTTGATCATCAGGGAAGCCTCATTTGAGTGCAGCTAGGCTCTTCAGAACTTCAGCATTTGATTATCATGCTGCTAGTGGCACACCCTGCTTGCAACTCAAATGCAAATGTGTCAACTGGGTGTAATCTGAGTGTGTGTTCAGAAAGTCTGTATAACCACAAGGACTATCAAGAATGACCTCCCCAAGAACCTCTTCGCTGCCGCCCAAGGATTTTGACCTGGTCCAGCCGGGGTCGGCTCTTTGGGAGAGAGTCTGAGATGCTGAAATGGCAGGAGGTGCTCTCCCTCCTTATTGGCTCCAAAAGCATCGACACTCGGCGATCCCCGGCCGATCCGGTCCGGACGAAAGCGAGCGCGCAGCCAAGCATGGCTGAGCCGTGGCAGCCAGAAAACCGAGTTGTACAGAATGGGTAATTACGGTGAATTACGCATAGTAGGGTTCAGTGTCCAAGTCTTCCTCCTCACTCAGGGGGTGTTGGACTCCAGTGGATGACTTCCGGAACAAACTGGGCCCTTGGACCTGCTTTGGCCAACTCAGCACACCATCCCACACCCCTTGCGGAGCCACACTCGGTTCGAATGGGGGGTGTGCCCATCACTTGGCCCACAGTGGATGAGAATAGGGAGATTCCGATCCAACGGGCTTTCATATGCGTTTCCTCTTCCAGTTGTTGTTTGGTGGGTGGAAGGTGGTCAGGTCACCCTATTTCAATACACGCTCACATGTTCGCCCAGCAGTGCAGTTGCTCGCCTCTTCCTGACCAGGAGAAGGTCATGACGCCCGAAGGCTCCAGTGGCCCTCAGCAGCTGGGTGTCGAAGAGGAATCGCTTTGAGGGTCGCAGGGAAACCGGTGTCAGCGGGGGGGGTGATCCGGTTTGCAAGCATATAATATGTGTACTGTGTGTGTGTGCACACTTGTACTGCAAGAGGTGCAGCATTGAGCATTTTCTAGGTTTCAATTTTTGGTCCATCCCGCATCCAATCCGTCCTTGGGCATTTGGAGAGATGGACTCCCATGGTTTTGCGGTTCGTCCCGTCTTGCGGACGCAGTTCAGCAGATTTCAAGAACATACTATAGCTATATATACAATATGTTTCTTGTCCCGGAGAGCATTTGTCCACCCAAAATATTTTCCTTTGGCATTAGGCAGTCCCTTTGGCCCCAACATCCCCGGATCATGTGAAGTTTGTCGGACGTGAAGGACGGAATTTGTAACACCACATTCAAGTCGAAACATCATTTGCCCCATCGAGTGCATCAGCAACGAAGTGCCTACGCACCAAACCGTCGTCATGGGCACTCCAGCTAGAGAGTGTCCCGGTACCACAGCCCAAGTTGAGGGATCGCCCAAAGAGTTTACAGCATATGGGTGTGTATTAAAATAGGGAGACCTCCCAAAGACCCTTCCTGGAAGAAGGAAAGTAGACCAAGACCCATTTGGTGGGGAGTCTCCCTATCAAAATACAACCCCATATGTTCGCCTCACTGTTCCACTCACCAAGGCTTTTGGTTCTTTCTGGTGCCGCTTCTTTCGGCGAAGAACGCGGCGGCGCTTTGCACCTGCGGCCCACATGGAGTGATGGCGACTTCTACCAGAGGGTGGTGGAACAGCCGCCGCCCTGGCAGGTGCGGGCGAGCGACGAAAGGCCCCAGAGGTTGTGGGGAGGTGTATAGCCTTGACTCTGCAATGACCTTGTTTGAATAAATGTATCATGGGAAGGTGTCTCCACTAGAGCTCCCTCTTTAGTCATGCACTGTAGCAGGGTGGGGGCGGGCTCTTTCAAGCATGCAACCATATGCAACCATCGATTTTGTCAAGGGAAAAGCATGCTACAATATTGAGGCAATTGTTATGAATCCAAGATGTTCCGCAAGGTTCTCCAATTGAAAAGCTGTGGGACGTGTCAAGAACAGCAGGACGGAAGTCCGTTCATCAATTCCCCAATAGCCATGCTATGGGGTCTTGCAAAACTAATAGGCGGACGGGCGCCGTCGGGTCACCGTCAGAGCTGGTGGGCGGATGGTGTCCCGGTCATGTTTTGATGGCGTCCGGGTCATGTGATGCTGGTGTCCCGGTCATGTTTTGATGGTGTCCCGATCATGTTTTGATTGTGACCCAGTCATGTTGTGATGGTGTTCCGGTCCTGTTTTGATGGTGTCCCGGTCATGTTTTGATGGTGTCCCGGTCATGTTGTGATGGTTCCCCGGTCATGTTTTGATGGTGTCCCGGTCATGTGATGGTGTCCCGGTCATGTTGTGATGGTGTCCCGGTCATGTTTTGATGGTGTCCCGGTCGTGTTGTGACGGTGTCCCGGTCATGTTTTGATGGTGTCCCGATCATGTGATGGTGGCGCGGTCATGTTGTGATGGTGTCCCGATCATGTTTTGATTGTGTCCCAGTCATGTTGTGATGGTGTCCCGGTCCTGTTTTGATGGTGTCCCGGTCATGTTTTGATGGTGTCCCGGTCATGTTGTGATGGTGTCCCGGTCATGTTTTGATGGTGTCCCGGTCATGTGATGGTGTCCCGGTCATGTTGTGATGGTGTCCCGGTCATGTTTTGATGGTGTCCCGGTCGTGTTGTGACGGTGTCCCGGTCATGTTTTGATGGTCTCCCGATCATGTGATGGTGGCGCGGTCATGTTGTGATGGTGTCCCGATCATGTTTTGATGGTGTCCCGGTCGTGTTGTGACGGTGTCCCGGTCATGTTTTGATGGTGTCCCGGTCCTGTTGTGATGGTGTCCCGGTTATGTTGTGATGGTGTCCCAATCATGTTGTGACGGTGTCTCGGTCATGTTTTGATGGTGCCCTGGTCATTTTGTGATGGTGTCCCGGTTATGTGATGATGGTGTCCAAGGAAGAGATGGTCGATGTGTTGAAAACAGCAGCTGTTTCCAGATTTTTCTTTTTGTCCCGGTTTGTATCTTGCTATTGGGGTCTCCAGCTGGGCTAATTTTCCTAATTTCCATTTTCATGATGTTCTGAAAGGCTTGTCATCCCCCAACTGTCGCGAGGTGAAGAAGCAGATCGAACCAAGAGAGGAGGACGATGATGCCGACGTGGAGGAGGAAGGCGATGGTGAGAAAGGTGTGGCCAAGTGTGGTGGGGTCGCTTGGACCAGAACTCGATGGAGCCGGTAGAACGACCCACGCGACCTGGACCGCTGTGACCGGTGGTCTGGTGGTCATGGGCAAACGACATCAACCAAACAACAGTGTTCCTTGGTCCATGCACTTCAAACTCTAAACCCGATGATATCCACGGATCACTTGGGTGCTCGCAGCGAACCAGTGACCAGTTAGACAGACTTCCCTTTAATTTGTGACCCATATGCACAAACTGTTGCAACCTCTTGGAACTAACTCGCCTGCATTTCTTCAGAATTTCTGCAGACCCTCAGTAAACCCTTGATCCGTCGGTCACTGAAAGGTTGTTTTCCGTGCAGATGCTTGGAGACATCCGGGAAGGCAACCACCTGTCATGACCTGTACGAGCCCATGACAATTCCCCAATGGACTAGCTGGTGATTGGGCCACATGGGTTTCAATCGTTTAGAGATGAGTTGTCCTCATGGGATCTCAAAAGCACCCCGAGCCGATATTGCCTGGGCAACAAAAGAAGGGGCACTCCGCCACTCCGCTGTCCGGTTTCGTGCCGACGGTGACCAACCTTTGAAAGCTGCCTTTACCAGGTTGAAACCTGGACTTCAAAACTAAATCGATTCTTTGCACTTGCTATAGTATCCAGTTCCTGTACTGGGCGCCTTTCTTGAGCGCCGTCAGGGGTGCGGCATCGGACTTCGTTTACCTGGTTTCTCACCGTACCTTCCACACAAGAAGCATGAAGAGTGCCGAGACAGACGGCCCGTGCAGCGCACCTTTGGTTTCACTCAGGTTGCCTCGCATTTGAAGATGACCAGTGACGAGCCCACACTCCACTCGATCTCGGTGAACTACAAGCCCCTGCGCAGAGAGGCCCTGACATGAGGGGCCCCAAACAGTTTTGTTCCGCGTGCGTGACGCGATTCATCCACAAGAGGTGGGCGGTTGGTGGGGCCTACACTAAGCTGCCTAGGTCCTAGGTGGGCGGTTCTTAGATGTTCTTATTATCCATGTGTGAAGTCGCTTACGAAAACAGTGGAAATCATTCATGCATGAGGTGGACCAGCAATCAACCGCCCCCCTTCCTTTAAGGCCTCAATGTTTGGGTGGCTGGTGGTTAATGATTTATGGAAACACCGGAATGATAAAACACCCCCTCGAGATTTGCTATGTGGGGGTTGTAACAAAAGTGCAATTTGTTTTGTTTTGGGGGGGTCAATCAGGAGAGGTCACCAAGACCAATATTTTCATGAGGAGAGGCCCCAAAGACTAAATCTCTTCATGGGAGGGATCCCCAAGACTAAATCTCTTCATGAGGAGAGGCCCCAAAGACTTAATTTCATCATGACAGTTGAGGCACTTGGGACCTCTTTTGTGTGTGGCGAATGGTTAATTGATTGATTAGGCAATTCATAAACTACGCGAGAACTTCTTCCAAGGCCGGGGGTGGCTGAAGAAGAGTCTGTGAGGAATTCACATGAGCCCAATTGTTCCAAAGGCTTGATTCACTCCTCCACCAGGGGCCAAGATCAGGTGATCAGTCAGGATCAGCACCAGCCAACAGGCAGTGCAAGTTTTCAGATACCATGCAGGTATTACCAGTTTGTCTTTTGAACGTTTGTTGACGCCCGGAGGCCCAGAGGCGGACCAAACTAATGGGGGGGGTCCTATGTGCACACTATTGGCTTGATCTTGCCTCAGCTGACTCAAGCTTATCATGCAACTTGGATCATGCGACCATGTTGATTTCCAGCCCTCACTTTCGAGCCCCACACACCTCTGGCCAGTGAGGTCCCAAACACCACAGAAAACCATAGAAAACCACCACTCCCTGCATGACTTGCTATCAACCCCACTAGGCCCCATTGGCGACGTTGAGATCCGAAAGTCGCTGAATTTTACACTCCCAGAGATAAACGCACACAGGGAAAACGAGTTGGAATCAAATCCGCAAAGATGTCGACAGCATGTGTTTGCAAGGAATTCCTGCAGGCTCCAACTTGATCACATTCACACGAATTTGGCTTAATTTAGCCAAATCTATCGTGAGGAACTGTTGAGCTTCCCCCAACAAGGACTTAAAGATGTGGTGGAAAAATTACATTGGAAACGGTCTTGGCACCCTGCTCCCCCACAAACATGTATTGGAAGATGAACTTAATTCTCCAATACCTCCCAAAGGAGAAGGTTGAATTTTTGGAGGGGAGTACGGTTCACCGAATTCTTCGCAGCATTTTGCACTCCGATTCCTACAATGGGTTTGATGATCATTGCCTCCCTTCAGGCCACGACGGAGCTCTTTAAGTTTCTTCTGTTGAGCCCTGACGAGATTTCTCGGATCGTTTGCTTTCCCAATGAGCCGCTCAACCCGTGCCCCGACGAAGCACTCGCGCAATGTGCCGAGGGGGGGAAGAGGGTATAGTGTTGAACCAGAGGACGACGACGACGACGACGACGACGAACCACTACCACTACAATCACGACGACGACGACGACGACGACTACTAATACTACCAGCAACATCCAACAACAACAACAACAACAACTACTACTACTACTACTACTACTCCCAATACCACTACCAATACCACTACCAATACCACTACCACCACCACCACTACTGCTACTACTACTGCTTCTTCTTCTACTACTTCTACTTCTACTTCTACTATACTGTATATATACTATACTCCTACTGCCTCTACTACCACAGCAGCAGTAGCAGCTGTAGCAGTGGCAGCAGCAGCAGGAGGAGGAGGAGTAGTAGTAGTTGTTGTTGTTCTAGTATAGTAGTAGTCGTCGTCGTCGTCGTTGTAGTTGCCGTTATAGCAGCAGCTGTAGGAGCAGTAGGGGTAGGCATAGTAGTAGCAACAGTAGTAGTTTTAGTGGTAGTAGTGCTAGTGATGGTGTTTCTCCTCCTGCTTCGGCTATTGCTACCTCTACTGCTATTGCTATTGCTCCTCCTCGTCCTGCTGCTGCCACTGCTACCACGATCAAAAAAAGAGATGTTGGGTTAGCTGGATTATTTCAAACAAACTTTGTTGGAGGCAAATAACTAAAGTGTCCTTCCAGATGTTTGCTGCACAAATTTGCTGAACGAATTTTCTTGGAGCTGTTTCAACTTGACTTGCTTCTTGCTCGGGTCATTTGAAAACATGGCCCTGGCCTGGCAGGATTGATATAACTACTTCCCACAAGACTCACTGGCTCAGGCTTCCGCACTGGAGGCGTTCATTTAGGATCCAGGGGAAAGTAGTTTTTGTCATGATTAAAGTGTTCTGAGGGGGGGAGACCGACAGCACATCCCAATGGGTCTCAGGTGGAAAGGTGGATCTCGAGTACTGCGGCAAATTGGCATAAGGATTCCCAAACTGGCGCAACAAAATCTTTCAAGAAGACTATAGATTTACAATGAAACACCTAGTGGGGTACCCAGTGCGGGGGAGGGGACGTCCTTTTGTTTCATACTCCAATCCCAAGTTCTGGCCATTCTGGCGCGCATGGGAGTTCATTGGATCAAACCTTCGCGAGGGCATGATGCACTCGACAAGCAATTGGGGCCCCTTTAGGATTCCAAGTCAGTCGGATCCTATTGAAACATCCTGATTCAAGCTTAGAGACCTGGCCAGCTTCAGACAACCTGAGGAGCGTCGGACAATCGCATGACTGTGCCTTTAATTTGTTTGAGGCAGATGTTCCTGTGCGGGGAGAAGAGGACGACGGGCGATGGAGCAGAAGCCGCTGACGTTGAAGAGGACCTGGGATTCATGGTTCATGTCAATGTGATCTGAATTGAATTCTGGGGCAGTTTTGCGATTTGTGGTGATTGGCTCAGACACAAGTGTTTTGTTTATTCGTTTAAGAGGTGCACTTGTGGTTCAGGAAGTTGGTGATTGATTTGTTTGGCCAGCACCCTCCAACAAACGGGTCACCTTTGGTGGCTTTTGGAGACTTAACAGTAGCAGGTGGTGACCTGCTGGAGGGTGCTGGTAGCCTTTAAATTCCTGGAAAGCGATCGAAGATTTTCTTCCCAGAAGCACCCGAAGCGATCACAGCAGGAGGCATCCGAAGATGAGGTTGAGGAGGAAGCTGAACAAGCCGACGATGGCACCACAGCCAAAGCAGTGTCTCAGATGTGCTGAAGATTGAAGGATGGTTTAGGAAGAACATGGGTTCAATTTAACTAGGGTGTGCTCCACTACCAGTAACTGTTGGTAACAGATTGTCACTATCACTATTTGTTGAGACACGCCTTTGTACTAATGGCTGTTGCTGGTAATGGGATTTAGTTATATTATTATATTTATCCAAGTCCAAGTTGGCACACTGCTCGGGTTCTTCAATCGCTCAGACGGTACTCGTGAGCTATTTTTTCCCATTGATCCAGGACATATCCAATGAAATCCAAATCAACCGCCTTCGGCACAATTAGACAACTGGAGTGTTTTTACAGTGTTTGCACATAGTGTTTGCACAAGTACAACAGTTGCAGGCGATTCTAGAAAGTGCACGGACACAAAACTTCAAGTTCCTATAGTTGAGTTGTGTCATGTTACTTGACTGTTTGTAACTGAATAAGTGATGGCTTTCATGGTGATCCTTTTGGGAAGGTGCCATCCCAAAAAAAAGAGGTTGGCCAGTAATGAAATGTCAAATTCCTTCGACTCATGAAAAAACACGGCCCCGTCCCTCAGAGAAAAAAGGAACAACTCTGGTCGAGCGGTTTAGTAATTGAAAAGGGGTCAAACATGGGAACCCGGGAAGAAGTTCAGAAATTACTTCCAAAGCAAAGGGCTTTTTCATTTTCCGTGTGTCAATCCTTTTATTAAACAATAGTGATTCTTCGATGTTCTTTGCTCAAGCAATTTCCATCATCAGACTATATAGCAATGACATCTAGCAACTAACGTTTAAACATGAAACATAAACAACTGTGCCATGCGGTTTGGCGAGGCCTGAGTGGAAATTGCGTTCGTGTGGCTTCGTGTCATTGCGGTGTGTCACTGATTCTAGTGGGTGGTTGCCTTTAGGGCACTCCCCACAAATGACGTTGTGGCATTTGTCTATATTGTACATAGAACAATTACACACACACACATATAAGCCAACTGGTAAGTTCAAGGATGTTCAAATCATGTAAGCTTTCACTCATGTACATCCAGAGATGTGTTCATACGAGTGCTGTTCTCCAAAAGATAGTGATATAAGGGGTAAGACCTGCCCCGATGATGACTTGAATATTGAGTCATCAATTCTACCATTATCCTGGTCAAACCTAGCAAAACCATTGGCCAACGCCATCCTGGCCGGGCTGCGTCAAGGTTTCTGGTGATTGCAACTTGTCAGTTGCACCTGAAAAGAAGCAGCGTTCCAGGCTCTAGGTATTATATATATATAATATATACATACATACTATTATATATATATATAAAAATGTATGCGTAGTAGGCAGTAAATGTAAAGGGTGTAATTAGCTTAAATGATATAGTTTGACTTTTCTTCTTCTAATATTATGACAGTCTAGCGGCGGTCGCGAATCTAGGCCATGTTTCTTTCTCTCCATTGGATACCGAGTGAGGATGGCGACCCGAAGCCGCCCGAGTCGAGAACAGCGATGCGGGCAGCCTTCGGCTCCTACGTGGAGATGGTCCACCGAGGGGATGACGCTTCCGGTCGGACGTCGGAGGTGCCCCCGTGAAGTGACACGTCCGTTGGTGGGAGAACGGACCAAAAAAAACTGGATCCAAAACGGTTAAATTCTCAGAAGCACGTGATGGCCAAGCCTGGCAAAGCTGGTGTCATCCAGGAGCGTTTTGTGAGACCTTCCTTGAATGACAAGTCACCGAGTCATAGTCTTAAATGGTTGCCGAATCATGGCGGTTTGTTTTGTGTTTATTTAACGGGCGCCTTTGTTGGATGGCTGGACCAGCGCTGGACTCCTGCCTGAGGTGCAAGATCTGTTGAACGCAGCTGTTTTCCTCTTGAGAGCTGTGGCCGAGTCCAAGGACAGATGGTGAAAGCACCAGAATTGTTGGACCTTCCTGGAAGCCTTGGAGTATACAGTATACACCATAATGTAGAATAATGTAGTCTGGTGATCATCAACGGCCCCTCATAAAAAGAGGTTTCACAATCCAAATGGAGAGGAATTTGTTTCATCAACCGTCCACCTTTGTGTTTTTTTCCTTCACTCAGAGTCCCACATGGTGCGACTCGGAAACCCGCGTGACACTCAGGAGGAAAGCGAGGAGAGCTCGTTGTTGCCTGGTCACAGCCTGCAGGAGCTCCAGGATATTTTCGAGACCTGCCATTTAAATCCATTTAATGTGGTGCCGACGTGTGCGGAAGAAAAGGGTGAACCTCCCAAGAACCCCCAAATCAACAACTCTTAGTGGGTCCAAAGTCACCACTATATCACAAGCAAATCCCTGGTTGAAAATCGGCTTTCTATCATAAATAATAAATATACATTCTATATTTGAAGGCAGTTGCGCAGCAAACATATGGTGAATAGCTACGAGGTTCCTTCCACTTGCCCCAGTTCACACCACCAGGATGTACACAACATGCTGGTCCATTTGTTTACAACGGTTGGCAGCCCGGTGTCTGGGTTTACAAACTTGAAGATGCAGCTTTTGCAAATAGACATGTGTGGAGAAATGCAGTTGCAACAAATCCCACTCAGCAACCTTGGGTCGGCTAGCGTGCTCAAGGAATACTTACTGTAAGAACCGGATTCAGCTGTTTGCTCCGAGGCTCCTCAGCTCGCCATTTTCAGCTGTTTCATTGGTTCCGATATAGCTGTGGCTTCAAATCAGCTGTGATCTTGCACAGTCCCCATGTTTATTAATATAAATCCTGCCATGCTTCGCAGAGTCTCCGAACTTCCACAGCTCTTTCCGAGGGCTTTGGGGCGGAACCAAGGACAAGAGCTCTTTTGGCTCTGTGACCTTTCAGATGGCCTTGACTTGCTTAGAGGACCTCAGGCTTTGGCACACACGGTTCCGGAATTCATTCACTGCCTCGTCATGCTGTTGTAGCATAAAATAACTCTCTTAGATTTGGCTAGGTGATAGTGATAGATCAATTTGTTCTTTTATGATTTCAATTGCCGCGTGTGCATAACTTTGCATAACTTTATAAGTATTCTGCATCGCTTGGGCCCTGAATCCACATCATCGGGCTCACAGCAGCTCAGCTCCCCACAAAGTCTCAGTAGTTGGCCCGTCTGGAACTATAGACGGGACGAGCCCGGATGATGTGCAGAATGATTATGTGCACGGTTGTTTGGACGTTTTCTTGTATCATCTGGTTCCTGATCATTGGCTCATTTGTTCAAAGCCAACCCTTTGAGGCTTGTGGTGCCTTTTCCCAGTGGCTCTCACTTCCGCCTGGTGCTTGCCCGCCATGCGGAACCCTACTGCCTCCGCTGGCAGAGCGAGAAGGGTCACGAACAGTTCTTAAAGATGTTGGCCCAGTTTCACCAGGAGTGCTGAGACTGAACCAATTCCATTCGGCGGGAGCAGCTCCCACAGGAATCGAAAAGGATACGATACTCGTTGTTTTCCAAGGTGACCAGAGAACCCCTTCGAGCCCTCTGTGACTGGAATGCAATGGATCGATCCCAAGGGTTGAGGCCTCCCCATCGGTGGAACCTCTCGTCGAAAGGCTTTCGGAATGATGATCGATCCACTGCGACGAGGCAACCGTTCGATAGCACCAGAGACATGGGATGACCGTTCGAAAGCGTGCGAGCAACGGCCGTCAGCAGTTTATCACATATACTGAAAGTATTGCTGTAGACAGTATGGCCGTACTGTGAAGTATGGCTGATGTATTGCTCTATGGTGCTCTTTGTAATCTCTTGTATATATGATGTTCGGAGTGATGTTCGGTATAAGTACATGTCTTGCTGTTCGTGGCGAGTGGTCAACCAGAAGCGTCAGGAAGGATGCCTTTTTTCTGCAGTGTTCCGATATAACATGAACAGTCACTCCAGCTGCGGATTTTTGAGAGTGTCAGGAGTTTGCAGGGTTTTGTTGCATCCATGACCCCCAATAAAATGCACGACTGGAACTTGTCTTCAGGCAACTTTGCATGCGAAGTACAATGCAAATCATGACCCTCCAGCAGCTCAAGCCTATTGTCACTGTAAAATCATCTAGAAAGTGACCTACATGGAACCTCAATTTGACCATTGGAAGACGATTTTCCGAATACTAACCCAGTGGTTGTCAGGTTCCATGTTAGCCTTCCATATAGCCTATTTGTTTGGGACTTTTGGCATCCCTGTTCATGTCCATCAGGAGAGACCACTGGGCCGCCACTGGTTGCTGCCCTATGGACGCCTTCTGAATCTCTCCGCAGAGCTCATCGCAGACGCCAGTGCCTGTGTGGCTCAGGCGTGTGAAGAGTGCTCACTCCGCATCAACGGGTGGAGCGGGGTGGACCTCGTGGCGCCCTGCGCGTGGGTCAACGCCAAGGGCCAGCTCAACGTGCTTTGTATGGAAAAAGGGGAGGAGGGCATGGCACGAGCTTTTGGGCATTTTTTGGGGCGAGGACAGGGTCCAGGAGAAGAAATCCTAATATATCGACAAGGAGTGAGAAGATGAGGGCTTAGGTTTCCTGGTGCAGAGGGGTTGTGGATTCAGGCGGCGTCCTTCTACATTAGGGAGCAGATGGGGCTGCACTTCAAGGTCCCTCTTGGTCCCTCTTGAGGTGTCTTGATGTGGGCGAAGGTCCCGAACCGATTTCTATCACCTGCTTCCGAGTGGACGAAGGTCCCGACCGTTGAGCCGACCGTGCAGCTGCCGAGCCCGTTTGATCAAGTGAGCTGATGACAGAAGGGAAGCCGCACCATGAGGGTGACCTCCTTTTGGAAACCTTACACACGCATCGTACAGCGAAACGACCCGCCCTGTAACAACAGTCCCCTGACATACGTTGGGTGATGATTAGGACATGTCACAATGAGACATCAAGATAACAAAGTACAAGATCAAATTACCTGGTGTATTACTGTGTCGACAGACGGGAGGAAGAGAGGAGTTCAGGGTGAAATCAAGAATTTGAGGCGGCTCGGCGGGTCATTAGCAGTCAGCCAGCAAAGGGGCGGTTTGTCGCTTGCATGTTTCTCAGGGAGGGTCTCACAAAAATGTCAGAATGACAGAATGAACAAATATGACAAGATGAGCACCCAGGCATGCTTCTTTATGTAGATGGATGTTCGGCCAAACACCGGCAACATCCTGTGGGTGTGAAAGGGAAATGGTTTGGGTGGATCCCAGGACTCCGTTGCGACGCAAACATCGCAACGGAATCGATCAACAGCTGGCAGAAACAGCATAGATAACATGTTGAATCAAAGGCCTTAGTTGAGGCCGAACGGCAAGCATGTACCAGTCAAAATTATAGAACAACAAGTGCCATGTCGAGGACACATATCGAGCCATAGAACCTGGCAAGACCCTTTCCTAGTTCATTCGGCCTGATTAGAGCCAGCCAGTAGCTAGTGCTGGTGCTACAGGCGATTCTCAATCTTAAAAATCTTAGAACTCATGATTATGATGGATTTTTTTGCAATAGCAATAGGTTCCCATTTGACATCAAGGGTCGGCTCAACAAGAACTTCGAAGACCTTGGCACGGGCTGCCACGCCTGTTGCGGGCTGCCGCCGTCGTCAGTTCGGTTCCGCGAGTTGTTGAGGTGCTGATCTTCCGGTGTTTGCTTTCCAGATTGCTGCAGCTACTCTTGCGGCATCCATGGTCCTCAGCCGCGGAGTGGCTCGGAAAGAAGAAGAAGAAGGGAACAAAGTTGAACACTAGGCCTAGTTCAAGACACAAGTAAAAGCATTTTCCTCTATGAAGTGATCGCCTACAGACAAGAGCCCCAACTCAATAAGAAGGACGTCATTTTCCGAGTTCTATACGTCATGTTGAGAAACTCTTCCCTGCAAAGATAGTTTTCCTTTCCACATCTCCATTTAAGGACCGTGTCTTTTTGCACGTGATGGTCCTTGAACCGAAGAACATGTCGTATTTCATACATGCTGCATCCTTCCATTTCGAGGCATGAACTTACCTATAAGCGAAACATGTATGTCAAAGATCATGTGACCACCATACTTCCGAAATATGTTTCACAAGCCTGGTTCTATTTCCTTTGCGCAACCACTGGCGTTAAAAAACACATTCGATCAACCGGCTTGGTTTATAAACACCGTTCGATCAACCAGCTTTAGATGCGAATATATAGGCTTGTCTAAGGACTTCTCTTTCTGAGGCAGGTTATCATCTTCATTTGGACCATAGATAAACAGGCGCAACAGCACCCCTATGCTTGTAACCTACTGGGGTGAGGTTCCCAGTATGGTTTGAAGTGGGTTGAAGTTCCCATTATGTAGTAGTGGCTATAAAAGAAGGAATGAATGACTCATGACCGGACACTTTTTTTCCTTTAATGACCCGGTCAAGAGGCCAAAGACAGAGCCTGACAGGCCTCATGTGTTGATTCTCTTACGTTTGTCTTTGGGTTCAGCTCAGACCCGCAACTTCTTGCAGCAATCAACAAGCCTATGGCCTATCCCAGACACTCCGTGTATTGCATATTTACATACATTGGGGCGGTTTCAGGGGTCAATGTAGTCAAATATTCTGTACATGGAGTGTTTGGGTATGGCTAAATCTATCCATCCAGCCATTCTTTGCCGTGGAGGGCCAAACTGAGAAAGGATGGAATCCACATGGCATGGGAACCCCAACTGGGAATGTGCACAAGCGCTTTCAGGCAGGACAGGTGTTTGGCAAACGCCTTGGCACGCTTGGACACTCTATTCCCAAGAAATACTCAATCCTGAAGAGATCCAAGGCCAAGAGTCCCAAACGCCTGAAATGTCCGGACGTTTTTCATCGTTCTTCCTGTAATCTGTAGCTCATCGCCTGCAAGCTTTTTCATCTTCAGCTCTGCTGCAACACCTTGCACCACACCCGGCACTCCATGGGACTGGCAGTTTTACATGCAGATAGGGGTGGTTGAAGTCACGGTCAATGTAGGTATATAAATACTCGAGTCCCATGGAGTGTCTGGGATATATATGATGCATGTTTCGCTTGTTGCGTATGTATATGTATATACATGCATATATAATGGAGTCCCCCGACTGTCATTGAATCTACCCCGCCCCTGAGTGCGAAACATGTTTTATTTCGGCACCCATAGGAAATGAACCACATGGACTGGACTCCCAAAGATGTGAGTTAATCAAGTTCCCCATGTGACCAGGTGGTTGTCAGAAAATGTTGAAGTCACGCCCATTTGGGGCTGTAGTATATGAACACCACGCCCGGGTGTGGTCCTCGATCCTCGGCGTTGGACAAAGTGTTAGCTGGACCTCGGCGGCCAAGGCTGATTCAGCACCTGGCGACCCTGGACATTTGTGGCTTGGGCAAGGTGGAAGCAGTTGGCACTGAGGGTGTGTGGGTGTGTGTGTGTGTGCAGATGTGGCAACAATGGGAGGTTCTTAATGCTTTGAGGACTTTTTTGGAGGAACCTGGTAGGAGTTGGAATGAACTATAGGAATTTTGCAGGGAACCGCACTCTTAAGGGTTTAGGATTTGTTCGTGCTGTGGGGAAGGCGGTGATCCACTTCAGTGTTTGTACTGGTTGGTGACCAGCAGGGGGGCAGTGCTTTATGTCGCATTCACGCTCCCGTGCAACTTCCGAGCACAAGCGTGACGCTCCCGAGCATGGGTGGTTGTTTGGAAGTTGAGGGATGGATTGTGCCATCCAACCTTGCACCAAAAAAAATATACGCAACAAAAATGCGCTTGTGAAACTCCTGACTGGGTGCTCCAAACAGCATTGTGAAAAGGCACAGCATCACCGGCATTGGATGCTTGTTCGGCCGGCCACCTTGGACAAGTCACAAGTCGTGAACACTGCGTCCACCGGTCCAACATGTCGCGGATACTTTGACCAACCTGTTCCCCTCCACATTGATTAATGCTTTGCTTTAATGGCTAGCACTCCAGGAATTTGAAGGTGGACACGAAGCGTCCATGACATGCACCTTCATCGCTCCGTCCTTTCCGGCGATCCGTTCGGCAGGAAGCAGAAAATGGTCCACCCTCATTGGAGTCCTCATTGGATATAACAAGTCATTTCCCAACCCTGCTGAACATTTCGGAGAAGCAAACGGACAACTATGGGAGGACAAACTACGCTGGGATCCAAACGTACCTGCTAAACCTTTTACAGTAACCACCTTTTGTTGTCCATGTCGCTAATTGTTGTCTTTTGGTATGCAAGGACGAGAATTGTTGTCCGGGACGTGTTTTACCGTAATCCCTGAACTTGGTCTTTTTCACAACACTCACATATATCAATAGTGTTCAGGCTTTGGACGTGAAAACCGTTCAGGCTTTCAAAAGGACGTGAATTCACAAGATGGACGTACACGGACGTACATGTTGCGAGAACTTGTAAAACACAATTAAAAAACTATCTTTTAGCATCCTGGACTGGAATTGGTATCTATCCAGGGTAGCAAGTAGTAATGTCAAATACCTTTGACAAGAAGGGGGTTCACCTTTCATCATTTTTCTTGGATTTTTTTGGAAATTTTTGGCCTGCAGAGAGCAATTCTTTATTTTTTAATGTTTTTTCCATGCGGACGTTTTGGCAGCCATCGATCCACAACGAAGGCGAAGTGGAGTACCTCCTCCACTTTGCAGCCTTCCTGGGTGCTGTGGAGGTCCGCGAGCCTGAGACCGGCTCCAGCGGTGTCCCGCGCTACTGCTGTGCCTTCCTGCGGAGTTGAGACGCTGCCACGGCGAGAGAGAAGACGGCAGCTGCGGAGTTCGGATGGGGGGTGAATAATACCAGGGCGATTGGTAACGGAAGAGAATATGGGGGAAAGGAATATTGAACAATTTGAACGAGGAATCACATGGGTGATGGACATGAGGCCAGACAATCACAGGTTCGTCGAGGGCAACATCCGAGGGGCGCCAATGTTGCAATCCCTGTTTTTTTTTCCAGAAGTGAGTGGAATCTCCCAACACACCTCTACTTACTTCCGACAGTTTTTGACAGAGTCACCTGGCACCCTTGCAGTAAGAATCGCCGTGGAGCTCTACATTTTTTGAGAGACCACCACTGCCACCACTATTAGTTGTTCATAGTTTGTCATTACCTCCCAAATGGGCTACCCGAAACCAGCTGCTTACCCGCCAGACGACAGTGAGTTGTTGGTTCCCCACTGGGAGACAATGGTAGGACCCCTAATCAGTTGTTGTTGTTGTTGTTCATATGATGATGGGACTGGCAACCGGACATCCGAATCCCGAATCAACCACTCCAACTGATCGGGAGTCATATGCAAACCATATAGGAGTGTTAACCCATGTGGGATTAATTTAGGTCTCACGGTTCCCATCTGCTTTGCTTGAGCGGTGGGCGGAATAGTCGCTAAGTCATATTATGCTTTTGACCCGTATTCCAAGGGGAACAGTCGTTCCTATTATGAGTGACTCCTTTGAGAATGGACCCCCCCCACACCACAAAAGGTACAAGCACACGAAGTATACCGGTATAGCTCCTTTCCAGAGGCGGCAGGTGTGGTTTTTGCACCTCCATGGCGGTGGCGCCAGCCGTGGGTGTCCCAAGCAGACGCCGCAGACGCCGCAGGTGCCGCGTTTGCCCGCACCTGCGCCGCGCTGTGCGGGACGTCAGAAGGGGCCATCGAACAGGCATCTCCAATTGGGAACGGGCATTGGACATTCAATTGTCAATGCCAGGACCCTCCTGTCGGGGTGTCTATTTATAGCCCCTTAGCTGTTAAGGGGTGTCCATCAACCACCCCTTGAGGGTCCTGGTAGATTGTGCTTTTGTAAGAGCAAAAAAGCTGGCAGCAATTCTGCAGCACAAGCTTTTTTTTATATGGCGGCTATTTGTGAAGTTGATCCAGGAATCATCCGGCGTTGGGGGATCCAACGAATATGTGAGTGGCTCAATTGCGTATGGTAGCAATCAGCCTTTTTGTGAGCATGCTGCTGTTACTTGTTGTTTGGCTGCAAGATGTTAAGCCCTTCCATCCATGGGAGGGATAATCATAGAAATCCCTGCCCAGTAGCACTTCTACAAGATCAATGGCGATCAATTCCAAAGGCTTCCAGAAGTTCATTCCTCTCAGCACATGAATCCAGACCTTCCCCCCTTTCTACATGGCGAACCGTGCTGTTCTTCGACGTGTGCGGAAAACATGGCAGGAAGATGCGGGACACAGGTCCTGGGGACACGAACAGGTCCTGGGGACACGAAGATGGCGCCCTTTGGAATGTAGAGGTCTTCAGGCGACAATGGTTCGAGATCGAGGACATTTGTCAAGGAATGCTTGAGGTATGAACGAAACAAAAAGGCCCTAGGTGGAGTATGGTTTCTCATTCAAGCTGTTTTTGTTGCAGTGGCTCAGTGGATGCAGAATAGCTTGGACCAGGCCTTCCGTAGCCTCCAAATGCTGAGAAGAGCCACGTGGTGGGGGAGTTGGTCCGTCGTTTGGCTTGCTCAGGATAGGCGAAATAGTAGATAGTATAAGGAGGATGCCGTAGCTAGCGCACATTGCCACACCTAGGGCTCGAGTACCCGTCCAGTTGCCACAGAATTTTCGCCACGAACCACGAACGGTTCGTCAGCATGAGTTTCACCCCAAACGTACTCCGGAACAAAGGTCCTTGCACGCCTGATGGAAACCAATCCTCATACGGTATTCAAAGTGGTATTCGACTGTATATTGAACATGTCAACCAAGTGCCAGATGTAAAGGCACAGGTTTTGGCCGTTTCTCCACATCCACCGTGTTCTTGTTCCTACCCTTCCCATTCCACCGCCACACATTGGGCCCTCCGCCAAGCAGCACCGGTGCACGAACAAACACACGTGCAACACACCGGGTTGCCGCTGGGGCGTGGTCTCGCGACCCCGGGGCCATGGTGACCTCGAAGCTTTGCACGGTGATTGCATGCGTGCACCTCTTCTGTGCAGCGCTCATGGTGTTCACCGAGCCTAGTCCCTTTGGCTCAGTTGGGACATCTGGGGACCCCCAGGGTGACCAAAGAATGTGCTCTCAATATGAAATATATTTTATTGATTCTAGCTGACGCATCAGTTTTCGGTTGAAACGTGGCGACCGACTTGGAGGTACATGGCCAAGCAAGGCGGCAATTCGATGTTGAGAGGAAACCGATTGACATGGCTTAGTGTTTGCAAGCCCATTTGTGGGACCAACTGTTTGGACATGACGTACCTCCCACCTTCACTTGGCCATTTTACGGCCTAACACGCCCAAGGCTACCGCTGGGGGGGCGCATGACCTGCAACCAATCGCGTTTAACCCTTCGCAGATCGCGCTGGGCGCTGTTGGCATCAATGCGTTTCGGCGAAGTGGGACAGAGGGCAGTCTTCGCTGTTCCAACTACGGCGAATGAGAGAGAGAGGGAGAAAGCAGGGGGGGGAATTGTATTTGGAAACCTTTTGTTGAGCATGCCTTGTCTTGTGAGATTTCCCTTTTCATCAATATATACTGTAATTAGTAGGCCGCTTATTGATATAATATGGGAACTACTGTAGATGGCTATCAATGAGCGGACCTGCATGACTATCAATGGCTTATTCCCCGTACGGCTATCTCCATACCAGCTGGGTGATTTACCATCCTTCTTGATACCTTTGGCCTGGGCAATTTGCTGTCAGAGAGATTTTCGTTCTGAATGATCAGAATTAGTTTGGCATGGATTGTGGTCCTCAGCTTCCCGTCAGACGAAAGTGGCCGACTGTAGCAAGCATGAAAACATGAGTATTAAGCATCAGGCTTTGCTATGAGCTTTCGTCCAATACCTGCTGAAATCAACAAATAAGCAGCATAGCGATTGTTGAACCCAGACCCATTCCGGCCAAGCCACCTTTTCTCTTGTTAATGGACTCAACTCAGGCAAGGTTGCAGCTGCAGGTTGAGGCTGGCGAAGATTTGTACTGTAAAAAAGGATGTGCTAAGGGTGTTGAACATTTCATGGCCTACATCGTTTACCCGAGTCCATACCGAAAATATCTCCGATGTGTCTGTTCCGGTCGCTCCCCTTGCAAGAATGCTTTCAATTTGCTTTTGCTTGGGGGGGTTGGAAGCATCGGTCACCCTCAGGCTTTTGGACGCATTTGCATGCTTTGCACGGCTCTTCTTTCTTTTCTTGTCAGCAAGACTGAGAGCACACCGCCAACCTCAAAACGTGAAGGCAATCCCGTACGACCCCTGAAATCATTTCTTTGGGGGGGCTGTTTTGGATGTTTTGGGATAGGAACATAAATTAACTTCCACTGAGACGCGGAAGCAGCATGCCAGAACCTCACATTTGCCCAGTGATCCTGCCCCAGCCGGGATTGGTTTGGCCCCAATGGTAGAGAGTCGCGCATGTTTTTATGTTCAGCATGAACCAGCAGAACGGGATGTTGCTGCACAATGAAACGAAGCTCCGCCCGGAAGAGGGGATGAAACAAGTCAAAGTCAAAGTCCGTTCTTTTTTTTTCAGTTTGAGTTCGCCCCAAAACAATGACCAATCTCAATTCCCCTAACACTGCAAGCTTTCCCCAACTTCTCGCTTGGCGCTACACTCAAGAAGACAAACACGGCGGGAGGCCACGCGGCAGAAGCTTCGGGCCGCAGACCGACAGGTGGCATCAGGCTTTGCCTTGGTCGCCTTTGCCGCACAGGCAGATGTTGTCCGAGGGAGGCATCAAAGATGAAGCATCCAAGACTTGATCCACAAGGGTATTGTAAGGGTGATGTGTCTTGTTTCATTACTGTTTTTGTGTGTTTAATCGCAAGATGGTTGTTCAATGTTGTTCACATCTCCAGGGGGGCTCTATTCATCATCCTTCCACAAGAAGTCTCCATGGACCGTCAATTCATCTGAAAAACTGTTCATTTTGGTACCCTCTTCCCTGTGGCGTTCTGTTTCAGGCGGATGGAGTTCTGAAATGCTTCCCACTGCTGATGAAAAAGGAATCCCCAACACACACTGCAACTTTGCCACTACAGTTACATGAGTGTTCTGAAATAGTATCTTCATCTCGGCCTTGGTGATTTGGAACGTTCAGGACAAAGGACATCTGAAATACATGTAAAAACAATACCTCCAAGAATGATGGAACAATGGCCTTCCAGGAACCAATCACTACAAAGTGGAAAAAATGGGCATGGAACCAACTCACATTAGTTATAGAGGAATCAAGGTCTTCCAAGGGGTCCATGTCATTCACTTTCCGTCTCAGGTAATGTCCTTTTAATCACTATAACTGGGTGGTGGTTTTAGATATTTGTATGTTCAATCTGTAGTTGGGAGGACTGATTGAAACCACGGACTAATACTTTTCAATTGAGTTGAGATGACCAACTATATGACATAAAAAATATATAACATAAGGGTTGTGACAGGATGTACTCCACCAGGCGACTCCACCGATTTTGATTGGATCCGTCGGTGGCCTGTAATCCTTCATGACGGCTACACGGGCCTGAGAACAGGGCGGTATCGGAGTACATATGTTTTTTGCCGACGTGTGACCTTCCTCCAAAGCGACTTCAGTACCCCAAAACGTGCGGAAGGGCTTTGAAGTGTGGGATTTGGGCTCGAGTTGGCTTCTGTCGGTGAATGCCCCTGTTTTTCGATCGCTTCGTGCGAAGAACAAGCCGTTAGATGGCCGAACAAACTCTGACAGGACTCCTTGTACACTGTTTCGTGTTGCCCTTCCGAAAAACGAATCAACTGCAGGATGTTGCTTTGACCTTGCGGAAGACGACCGTGTCTGCCAATGAGGGCGCACGGGTGGCCATTGCGCCAGACTCTCAGCGCCGTGCGCGTCGCGTCGTGGCGCGACGTGGACGGCTGGATCGGGTGGGTCTTTTGGGGATCAATGGGTCAGCCGTGACGGGCATCGCCCCGAAGACTCTACCCCCCAGACTAGGATTGGAAACCGTACCCTGTTTTGCATGTTCTCATGTCAAAATGATTGGTAAACGCAGTATTTTTGTATGCGTTTTGCGTGGAAAGAAACAGCCGTTTCGCGACACCTGAAGTTGATGTTGTTTTTGTTTTTAAAATGTCAGTAGCTCTCCACAGTCAGGCTCCGAGCGCACATTTTTTTTTACAGATGCCATTGTCGAGCAATTCAGCGGCGGCGCAAAGCAGCGCCGGTCTTCTTCAGCAACCACACATTGCACCAAAGTGTGAACAACGAAAGACGAGTTTCTAACACCTGATCCCAGTTTACCCAGCAACGGACTGAATCCAAAGCTGTTTCGTGAACAAAAGCAAGAATGGGGTCAGAAGAAAGACGAGTTAAACCGTCTACGTCCTGGTCTAAAGAAAAAGGGTTGACGCGCCACAAAGGAAGAAGACACAAAAAAGCGAAGAGGACAGGGAACACCTGACAACCGAAACAACACAACTAAAGCGCACACCGTGGCTACTTCTTGAGCCTATGCTCATGCAAAGTATGTGAACACAAGAACGAAATGACACTCGAACCCCCACCACCCCCACCACCCCCACCACCCCCAACCCCAACAACATGTGAAGACATCACCCAGCGTCGTGGAGTCCAAAAATGTCTCAAAAGTGGGTCCGGTTTTCAGTCCCTAGGCACAAACCTGGACCCTGAGAATTGACCAGCGGCAGCGGAAGACCATCTTTTCTCCACAGCGGAGTATTCCAGCTTTGGGGTTCCAGGTGAATCTGCGAGGAGTATGATTTCTCATGTAAAGTTAGCCGCAAACGACTCCACCAAATTTTCCTCCAGCTGCTCGCCTTCGCTTGCTCCTTCCGAGGCTGCTCCTTTGGGATGGCCGCTCGGACGACGGGGCTTTTTGGGATGTCAGTCCTCAGCTGCGAATCATCTGTCAGTTCACAAAACGTCAAACACGATTATGAACATATGGGTTCTGGTGTACGTTTTAGAGGGGCAAGTTAGCCTCCTAAGCCTGCTTTGCTTCTTTTGTTGTCTGAGGTCCTCACACCGCACACTTCACGGGATCTGTGCGACTCCCGTTAAAATTCACAACCCGTCTGACATTACCTTACAGGGGTTCCCACTCAAACAACAAAGTGGATCCACATTAAATTACAAAGCAACCTTGTTAAAGGGGCACTTGTTGGGAGGGTCTGGTCACGTAGAGGGTTGATTGAAGAAAAATGGATTGGTTTTACACTCCAATTGGGAGGTTCCGGTCACCTCCGGTGACAACAGTAAACTGGGAGCTGTTTTGGTCCTGCATTTTATAGTCCTCTTCAGTTATTTGGTCCATGTTGGTCCAAGCTAGAGGGATCTAAAAGGATCTAGAAGGTATCATCTCTTACGATTCGTTTCAAGAAGCTGTAAACTTATATAATCCGGGCTATCCGTGCTATCCCAGAACGTCTCCTTGAGACGTTCCTGAGATTTCCTCAGGAATGCTGCTGGCCAATTATTTCCCGCCCATCTCGCTGCTCGCTACCTGGCAGCTACCCACCTTGTCTGTGCACGAGAGCTTCTTCGTGCTGGTTGAGCCTCGGCCGAGCAGTTCTCAGCTGGCAGCAGCTGCATCCCAGAATAGAACACCGAGATCACCATGGATGGGGATGTTGGATCCACTCTCTGGGGCTTGAGCCATATAGATGGCAGATCGAATTCTGTCAGATATGTTCCAATATGTTTCTCCTTTTCGGCCTCATGATGACATGATGACTGGAAGCGAATGGAAGAAAGAGGAGGTTCGTTTGGTTATATAGATGGTATCACCCATGGTGAGTGAACACAGAATGAGAACCCACACACTTCGCCCCTTGGAGAGCTGTGTCTCCGGTGCTTGGTCTCCTTGCTTGGACAGGGTTGCATTCTTCCGGATGTCAAATCCTATACCCTCGGCTTCGCCGGTCGCACTGTGCCGAAGGCTGGCGGAACGGTCGCTGCGTCGGTGGTCTACTTGATGGGGCTGGGGCTTTGGCGGTGCTTGGAGCGTTGGCTGGAACGGTGGAGGCGCCACCTGGATCTCTGGCTCGCAGATGCCCGGCTCGAGGGCGGTTTCCGAGGTCAAAACACAGACACGGCCTTTGTATTAATGATGGTGATCACAAAACCTCATGGCGGATGATATTGTTATTCTTGTTGGATGAGGATGGTATATTATGGTTTACTGGCTCCTGTCCTTCTGACAGGCGCAAGCGCAGTGGGACGCGGGTGCCCGACGTGATGACGCAGCAAGCACTGCAAGTGACTGCACTGCGGCCAACGGCACCGCCTTTGGAGAAGTGAGAAGTACCCTCCTAGCCATTAACATGGAAGTGGATGGCATGGCCCCAACAGGACGACCATTTTCCCCTACCTGGTAGGGCCTGGCTGTCTACTTCCATGAATCTTTCAGGGAGTGTAATGAGTTGTACGCGCCCTGCATTTTGCATCTCCAGCAGAAGCCCAAGGTCATGAAGAACAGATGTTCCGGTGGCAAGAAAAACGCCCATGGCGAACGCCTCCACCTGGCAGTCACAATGCTTACATGCTTTGGCCACGCATGTCCGAAAGGGAGCTTTGGGGATCGAACGACGTACTCGTGGTCTGCGGAAGGCTGTACGAAGGCTGAGAGTCACTCAAAAAGAACCATCCGTTTTTGGGCACAACCATGTAGACTCTTGATTAGGAATATACACCCATGTGGTGTGCACAACCTTTTCATAAAGGGGGGGTTTTATTCATCAGCCGTCTACGTTAGTTTAGCTCAATTTATTTGTCGGTTGGGCTCCTGCTTGTACAGAAGGGACCGCCACACTCAGAGAGGGCTGCAGCATGAGAAAGAATCAGCATGATTCAGCTATTTCAGTTAAGCTCCCGAAAGGCCCGGTCCAAAAATCATGGAAGTATTCAGAACATCCACTGTTAGCAAACTGTACCAGAAAACATATATGAACATATCCTTTTGTCGGAAAAGGAGATGACCTTTGGACCAACGGTCGCACCGTCCACAGTTCGGACCTTTGGAACTGGGCCAAAGGGACGCTAAGAAAGCGCGGAGGAAAAGGAGAAAGTGGCTGCCTGAGTTGTGTAGGTATATATGTATACATGCCATGCAGTAGGCATGTTTTGTGGCCGTTCATTTTTTTTAGACGGCCTTTCGGGACGCTGATTTCACTGCCTGGCCAAAAGTCGAGACATGTGGATAGACGGATAAATCTCAAAACAACCAGGGTCGGGTCCAGGGTGCTTCAAGCTCCTGCGCACCATTCAGATTCTTACTGAATTGTTCTTCATTTAATCACATGTAGTCACTGGACTTCTTACCATCAGAACATAGGGAGAGATTGATGAACACATGGCGAAGAAGCTTTGCATGCTGTAGATAGAACAATGAACCCTTTAAGATTGTCCTGGGTATCGTGTCTATTTGTTCCACTATGGGATGCCATGCCTGCAACACATGGATGGCTTCCGTAGAGCCCATGTACATTAATTCCTTGGAGGCACGCCCCAACGTTGAACAGTTGACGCATCCAGTCACATCCATGTCAAATTTTAAGGCGTGCCTCGAAACTACTGTAAACAAACTCCCAAGTTCATTGTTCATCCCGGCAGAAAGAACCGATGAATCCACACGAAAAACACCACAGGCACCGGCTCGGGGGGGGCTCCAAGAGATCTTTTGGCTCCTCGGGGGTCAAGTTCCCATCGCCCATCGGCCGCCTTTCCACCGACCGAGGTCGGCAGTGGCTCTACGACCCTTCGAGGTGGGCGAGGGCGACGAGCGTGGCAGCGGTGGAGCCATGCGGAGGGAGTGGGGGGACGCATATTGGGACCATGTCTTTTTTGGGTTGGAAGATCTGGACATGCTTGGACTGAAGATGGCTTGAAAGATGTTCAACATGTACTTTTTGACCCGTTCTTTAACTCCTGTTGTCTTAGCAGGAGTTGTTTCCGGCTTGCTGTAGGTTGATATTATAGGTCTTTATTGTTGCTTATATTATATCTCCAGCGGGACACTTCTCGGTGAACATGAAGGCCTTGGAATTGTTACGTCTTGGGTAGGGGTGCCCCTCATTCCAAAATGGATAGTATTGGGAGTAAGCAAACCAAACCACTTAAGCAACCAGTCGGCTGACTTCCAGCTGACCCGGTCGATAAATCGAGCGTCCTCGCCGACCATTGCGGGACGAAGCTGATTGACTCACTCACGCGGTTCTCCGCCGCGTAAGTGGCCCGTGAGGCCGTGATCTTGTGCGGCGACAACAGTTACGTGTTTAGAGGCTTCTTGTTCCCTGCCCTTTGTGGCAGGATGTGCACCTATTCTACCTCGCGCATACCATGCAAAAACTGCCAGTTAATTACAAGTCACTGATGAGGACTTCCACTCATGAACCATCATGAACCAGACCTTGCGATGTTGCCTCATCTATGCCCATGCATCCAGACACTGCCATTGACCATTTTGGTTCAAAGCTGAAGGCGGCAAACATTTTTTGCTGGGGCCGGGGAGCGCAACAACATGTGCGCCACGCTGGTGATGTTGACCCTCAAAACTCTGATCATTTGCTACCCCTGCTTAGACATGTTGTTTGCTTTGGTCAGCAGGGACCTGTCCAATCATGTATCTCCGCCAGACCTGGCACCCTGAGCAAGCACTTTGAGAGCGAGCTAGCGGGACATGAAGTTGGTGAATTGACATAAGGTCCTTCAGGTGTCGCCAAAGCCAAAGCTTCTTCCACGGTGCAAGTGGCGCTTGTTTCACATCCTAACTCTTTCGTCACAACAAAAAAAACATGCGCACCAAGATAGGAAACATCAATCCAGGTTTCCCACAGTTTGCTGGGACCGTGCGTGAACGGGTCAGTAAAGCTGTGCTTGTTTTGACCCTCAGCTGATGCTGGAGCTTGGAAGCCACGCACTACGAGCCAGAGCTGCAATCCGGGAGAACATGGGGTCGGGTGACGACAACCGCGAACCTTACCAAAAAACATGAAGAATGCGTCCTGTACAGATTGCGTTTAGGAGATGAAGCTGATCAACATAAGCTATACACGATAAATATGTGCTTCCATCAACTGAGTTTTGTGGTGGGCAACCGCATGGGCATTGGTCACCTGACCATCGAATTGAATGGTTTACCCTGCCTTTCACGACTTATGTAAGATGGAGATTGGGAAGGGGAGCCACAGTTCGTCTAAGACTCTAGGAGACCAGACTGTTTTTTTTCATGCATTTTTCTGTACAAGAGTTCTCCTTGCTGCGGTGCTGCGGCCATTCCACTTACACATGACACAGCACACAATTTTGATTTTTTGAAGTACATCAGCACACAGAAGTCCAGCAACATCCACAAAGGATAGAAACCTTATGCGGGCTCCAGTTGATGTGGCCTCGATGTTTCCCCCCAAGGAACCATCCTGAATCTAGCACAAGAGCTGCATAGATATCGCTCACCGTCCCTAGTCTACAATTTAAGCTGCTGGTTTTGACATACAGCCCTGGATGGCTCTCCAACAAGTATCGCAAATTGCTTGGCACCTGTGAACTGCATGTACCTACCCGAACCTCAACCTTCAATTGGGCGTTGGTGGACCTGTTCGAGTGATGCAGGCGAGTCTATTGCAAACACCTTGGAAGGATAGAAGGTGCTGATACACAACAAGAACCTCTAGAAACAGGTTTACCTAGAGTCTGGAGATCCTGACTATCGACTATCCTCTTAAGTCTTAGTCCAAACGGCAGCATCCACAGCCATGTGGCGCCTTCTTCCAGCTCGTCGTGGGTGGCGGCTCCGGCACAGCGGACACGCGCTTCGCTTCGCGGCCCGGCGCTTCGCGGCACACGCGGACATTGCGGCCTCCGAGACGACGACGAGCTTGCTCAATCAGATCCAAGGGAGCCTGAGGCTAAATGGCAGCGTATGGCGCGGTCGCCATGCCATTTACATAAACAAGCTAGGTGAGGGTAGGTTTTCAAAAATGGAAGGTGTTTGCCTTTGTATATAGATTACTGTCTGGCCTTTGGGTTGGAATGGTGAAGATGAGGGATGTAGCAAGCAGAATGAAACTTGGAACTTCATAGACCCCCAGCCATGGACATCGGCTCTGCTCCACCTGAGGCGCCAGGGCACGGGCACGTTGCAGAGCTCCACCGGCGGTCTCCTGCGGCTCACCATGCAGGGGGACGTCTCAGTAGGTCAAGGCCTTCGAAGCTTGGACGGAGCCGCATGAAGTTGGGATCAAGCATGTGACAGTATGCCCAATCTTTAAAGTTCCGTCAACAATGGAATGTGCACGCTCCATCCTTCCGAACCCCCAGGAATTGGCGAGACGCCAGCGGTGGTTGTACGCTTCGACAAGACTGGCGTGGTTGCCGCCGCGCTCTCATCGGATGTGGACATCGGGGACCAAGTGGCTCGGTCCGATGATTCCCTTCCAGGACCATCCTATAAAGGACTCGTTTGGGGACTGCCAGGACCCATATTCGGGGTGGTTCATGGACGCCCCGAATAATCTATATGTATATATATATATAAGGGGCCATAAATAGATAACCCGTGGGGGAGGGTGCTGGTACGTTAAATGTTGGTGTTGCATTGTAATTAGATTAGAAAGGGGCAGAACAACTTGGAAAATATGGAACTCACAGACAAAGTCGGTGTTGCTTCTCGCATGTGCTTTTCACGAAAGGTGGGCTTCTCCCAGGGTCATCCTTGAGGTCTTTTCAATTGCAAACCTGCAGACTCCTTGATTTGGGGAAAGAATCTAAAGCAAGGCCCCACCTGGTTTGTGAAAACAGAGCGCCAGCATCTCCTTAAAGGATAAAGATGTTAGGATGGAAAGCAGATGGAGGTGCTGGCGATGTCGATGCTTCACTTGTGGCTTAAAGGTGTCGTGGGTGTTTGTTCTTACTTGTGTGACGACTGAAAACTGTGACCTGGCTGGTTGAATCATCACCAAGCAAATTGAGTTTGGTACAGGCCGATGCGCTTGGCAAGGGCCGATCCGATGCCGCAAGATGATCATGATGGGATCTGTGCATGGCTGTGCTAAGCCGGCGGGTGGGGTCTTAGAGTAAACAGTTGATTCCAAGAATGCTCATCCGGGGTGGTCAGTTTGTCAGACGGTTTTCCTCTAGCTGCACCAGTGGTTTTCAGGGTCAATGTCATCAGCGGGTGCAGACCATGCACTCCAAACCGTTCCCAGGTGACTTCCTGTGGCACTTTAGCTTTGCAGTCTCGCACCTGGCCAACCACGCCGGTCGTGACTAGCCTGTCGGAGCTGGTCTCGCCCGCGGGCAAGCCAGAGGCGAGCCCTGAAAACCCCCATCCGGTGGTGAGAAGTGATGAGAATCTTCCAGGGGGGTCCATTTTCTTCCATGTTAGTCTGGGGGGTATGTCCCAGTTCGAGTTGGCAGAGTTCGGAAGTTGACATCTCCCATTGCGAGGTGGGAGGCACGTTGTGTGAGGGCGGATGCTTGGCAATAACTATAGGGTCGGTTTACATAAATTACCCTTTAGCCTCTCTTGACCCAAGGGCGCTCAAGCGGGCGGCATGGATGTGGGTCAGACCAAACATCCTATATATATATATACGTATCATGTTGTATCTGAAACATCCTGAAACAATCAAGTTTTTGGAGTTTTCGTTGTCAGCTGGAGACGTTCAGACTTCCCTAGGTGGGATACGATACGCTTTCTCGGCTTCGGGGAGCTGACAGTGAGGAAGAATGGTTTCGGATGCCAACTGGTATACAGTATAGTCCTTCAACCACATTCCACAGATTCACGGAATTTTTTCAGATATCCATCCTGCGGGATCTCATCCGTTCTTTTCCGTGGCCACGACAGGAAAGCTTGCTGAAGCTGCCTGCACAACAGGCGTGCGGAACACCTGAAAACTCCAGAAGCAAGCCACATGTTTTGATTAGTGTGGTGATGGTTGTTTGGATATGTTCCATCATTTGTCAATCCTTCGTTGGGAACAGTTATCCCATCAGACTTTTAGATGGGCCCTTTGAGCATGTCCTGTTGTTTCTTTAATGGGCCCCTTTGAGCATCGTCGCCAGGTCTCCAAGCGGCTGCCCATTTCTCGCCATTGCCCCAGCGGCTTGGCCCCGGTGGAAGCGCTGCTGCCACTGGGGGAAGGACAACGCGTGGGCCTGGCCTCTTGGGCGACCAAACTAAACATGCAGCCATGGAAGGACATCCAGGAACCAGGCATGGGAACCAGCCAGTCAATATGACGGCGCAGATGAAGCCCTTCCTAGCTCACACGTGCTTGATTCGAATCCAGCCAAACTAAGAATGCCAGTCGCATGAATTTGCGCTCCTAGAATTTGCCTTGAGTTGCTTTCAGACACAAGCCGCGGACTGCTCTTGTCCAAGAAATTGAGGATCGTGCCAAATCAAGACGCCCATGTTGTTTGGAAAGCTTTTTGCGCTCATCCCCACAAGTTTGCTTGTTCAATCATATCAGTTGGGTAGATGCACCCCCTCAGGTCATTATACCGAGTCTAAAGACATGGTCGTCCTCCATCTCTTGTGCTGGGTCGGCACAGGTTGGCCCCGCAGGGGCTGGGAAGAGCACGGCGCTGCGGATGTTGGTTGCTGCTCAGGCACCATCCACTGCAGTGGTGCTGGTGGCACACCGCTCGCGCGCCCGCCTGGAGCCGCCTGGCGTCTGGCGCGCGGTCAGTTGGTCAGTGGTGAAAACAACACTTGTTCCCCACATGCTAGTGTTAGTGTGGGGTTCTTAGTTTATTT